AAAACCTCTATAACCAGAAGCATGCTGATCTCCATTTTTTTCCTGTCCCACCCCCGTTGTGCAAAATCCTGTCTCGTTGTTGGTTTTTTTTTTTCTGACGCCATTTTCCTCCTCATGGGTATCCCTGCCTATTTTACCCTTCCTCCTCTGCCATGTGTGCAAACAAACTTTTTATTAAGCACCCCACCCCCTAGGATCTCCCCCCTCCCATCCCCTCGTCGGCTTTGCTTTCTCTTTTTGTTATGAAAATCTGAAAATGTCGTGAAACTTCCCACACTCATTACCTGTGGCACTTAATTCGTCGAAAACCTTTGGTTTCTTCCATGTTTAAAAAATGTTTCCTATATTCAAGACAACGGTCTTCCTCTCCTTTGTGTGTCTGTGTGTAATGTTGGTTTGTATGGTTTCTTCGTTAGCGTTCACCACTCCCCCAGCAAGTAAAAAATCGAACCAGCACAAATGATGCGAATCCACAGCCCTCCAGCCTCTAGGAAACCTTGAAAGGGGTAGGAGCAAGTCTACCCCGTTTCCAGCCCCAAAGATCTTGCTCTTTGCCCCCCATGCCTGCATTCACACAGCCACACAGAAGCCATCATGAAGGCATCTTTTCCCTCTTCCACCCATCCCACACTGCAACTCAGGAGGCATGATGTTAGGCCAACGTCCGCTGGCAATGACTTCTCTCAACCAGTAAGAAAATGGCCACTGTTCTACACACCTTTGATGACACAAGGGAACAGTTTCTGCATCGTACAGATTTTGAAAGGGGCTCAAGGCAAAAGGCAGAATGGACCCCCTGGTCACTTAGAGACACGTTCAGATGTGCAGAAATGAACAGAGCCTCTACTGTTTTGCCAGGGACCATATCTTCAGCTACCGGTGAATCCTGCCAATGCACACCAACTTCAACGGAGTCGGAACGAACATGATGAAAACAGAAATTATGCACACATGCGCAGACAAACAGTTGATGGACGACATTAAGAATGACTCTGGTTTTAAATGACGGCTCTTTCAGCCACCCTTGAACCTCCCCAAGCAAGGGTGATTTCTGGGCCACACAAAAGGCCCTCCTCCATTCCCAGTGGTTTCCCCACAGCAAATGGCAGAAGCCCTGTGTCGGAGCAGATGTTACAAGATGGTTTTACACTCCCTGACTCAAGCACTGACTTCCTGCCTGCTTCACCTTCTTTGCAGTCATTGGATGGCCTGCTCTGATGTCACAGCAGGGGTTGGGCAGTCAGGAAGAAAGCAAAGGAACGGCAGCGATGCTTTAATCAGAATTTCAAGTGCAATTTTGGTTAAAAAAATACACTAGTTGTTTCCTGTAGACCATGGGGTTTCAGTGTACTGCTGTGCCTGAAATAAACTCCTCTGCATTTTTACCCTTTCTTAGTTCGAAGAAGAAGCCATGTTCAAGGAAGTTCTCATGAGTGGAGAGATGGGGTTTCTTAGTCACCAACCAGGTGGTGGAACTGTGTGGCTCTTTGCTCCACCCTCCCATTTGATGATCTGCAGCCTTCTCCATTTCCTGAACTTCCAAGAAAAGTCCAGGGACAGCCTCCAGACAGATCTCCTCCCGTCGGTCATTTCCAGAGCAGGAAATGCGGCCATCAGGAAGGCTGCTGGGTGGTGGACAAGTCACACGTAGAAAGAAGATGTAGTTCACTTTTGTCCACCTTGCACTAATAAAGAGAGCTCTAAATGAAAGATTATGTGGAAATGAGGCAGAGCATTAGAACACAGCTCTACAGTGGACCCTTGACTTACAGACGGCTTGACTTACAGACTTTTTGAGTTACAGACGTCTCTGGCCGCAAAATTTAGGTTTGACTTACAGCCTGAGAATTGACTTACAGACCAGAAAAAAACCAAAATGGAACAACAACGGCCTGTTACGGGATTAATCGGTTTTCAATGCACTGTAGGTCAATGGAGACTTGACTTACAGACTTTTTGACTTGAGAACCGCCTTCCAATACGGATTAAGTTCTCAAGTCAAGACCCCACTGTATTTGGGTTGGAGTTGGTAGAGACCGTTTGGAGCCTTCTGATGGAAAGCTCACCATTTTTTTTTGCTACTTTTTGTGGCATCGAAACAAAGCTGCCTGCTTGGCAAAAAATGCATCTCAGGTAAATGCTTGCCGTCAATGACTTTTTGCACTCAGGAAGCACCTAACCTAGCTACTCTGTTAAGGGCTGGGAGTTCGATTCCCCACTGTGCCTCCTGAGAGAAGAGCCAGCCTATGTGGTCTGGGCAAGTTACACAATCCCACAGCATGCCCAGAGGAAGGGAATGGTAAATCAGTCCTCCATGCTCTTTACCGGGGGGGAGGAAAGGGTTGCTTTAAGTGGAGTGAATCGGCAGCATGTAATTATTATTTTTAATTAGAACTGCTCATATATGTCTGACTGCTTATAACTATGGGCCTGAAGCTTTGGGGGGGTGGGGTGGACCAACAAGGCAGTGGTAGAGCATCTACTCTGCCTATAGAAGGGCCCAGGCTGAATCGCTGGCATCTTTAGGCAAAAACTTCATAACTGTTAGAGTAGTATGACAATGCAATG